TAAAAAAAAAAATAAAATATAAAAATAAAATGTTCAGGCTAAAATGCAAAAAATACAGTTAGTTGACACTTTGAATGCCTTAGCAACGTAAAATGTGAATAAATGAAATATTTTGTTATTGTGACCAGCATTTTGCTCACTATTTCGGCTAGCTTACTGCTTTTCCTAGCTTCTACTTATGTTATGTCTTGTGTTGCAGAATTCACACGCGCATTTCATTAAGTTATCAATTGTTCTTGCTATTGTATAAATAATTTTTGTTTGGTGTTCTCATTAATTTGCTTCAACTGCTCATGCTTCACACTAACTTCTGACTTTTGGTGACTGCTGTTGTTGTAGTTATTACTGTTTGACTATTACACTCCAGGTGTTGTTGATTGCATCGGTATTTTCATCTTAGCTAATCTTTTCGCGATAATTTAGCTTGTGCTTTGTCAGCATGTCGGTGACGGTGACCAATTTCTTAATGGAGAGTATGTTCGAAAGACCTTGCAACTCCGGCAAGTAAGAGACGCAAATGTGATGGAGTGTGGCCAGTTCTCGACCTGTAATGGGAGAAATTATTTTTATTTAGTATTTTTATGTTTATTTCGATCATTTGTAGTAGTAAGATAGCGCTTGGAGAGAAAAATTATACAATGTCTAACTTAGCCACAATTTTTACTGTTACTTACCAGTATCCTGCACTGTGTCCTGCACATCCTGCACAGTATGATTGGAGTTTTGTTCGTTGAACATGCCTGGCGGTGGATTTGGATCCGTAACGAGTGATAATTGATCGAGAAAGACAATCATGCGTTCCTTATTCTTCAATATAAACGGATTGACCACCTCCATGTATTGTTCCTGCAATAGTTAAACGAAAACACGCGCATATTAAATTAGTATTCACATGCAAGAGCCCGCAAAACTCACCTTTCCGCCAAACTCAATTAGATTTGCTAGATTCTGCAAGCATTTGGCTACCATAATTAAAGAACGCGTAGCCATGGTTGGGGGCGTTTCGCTCACCAGGCCAAACTGACGCGGATTCAGCAGTGCCGGGCATAGGAGACGTAGAAATATGAAACCGGAGACGACGCGTGTGCGTACCAAACGCTCAGTTGGCCACTTGGCAACGACGGCCTTTTGTAGGCAATTACATATGTAGCGCACACTGCGTGGGCACGCCTCGGGCGAGGTGAATATCGAATGCGTCACCGAATCGAGTATCTGCAACAAAAACTCGGCATTCGAGCAAGCATCATCGTTCACATCCATCTTGGTGGGATTGAGTTCAGCCGATTGCTTGCTGTCGAGTATGCGCTGCACCGTCTCCGAAACGGCTGCGTGCAAGAAGCGCGAGCACTCAGTGCGCATGTGCAAATCCATTAGTGTGGTGGCCAGTGAAGCGCCGCGAAATAGTGTTGTCGTTTCGTTTTCACGTGCGATTTCCGCCTGGCAAAGTACGCGTATCAGTTCCGTCTCGCGTTTCTCGTGACGGAATACACGTAGCAGCGCCGTAGCGAGCGGCACGCGATCATTGTGACAAAGTTCGGCCAAAGCTTTAACAACGCACAACTCGGGCTTGAGCAGCAACTCCTGCAACGGACTGTACTCCTCGCAGGGCATAATCAAGTCATCCAAATAGCGCATGCGTAAACGTAACGAACCCCACTCGCCCATGGGTGTCATGCCGGTGAGCTGATGCCAGCCCTCCGTCTCTTGACCGTTCTTCAAACTGGCCAAATCGATGGTGAGCTCAGCAACTTCCGAATCTTTGCCGCGTTTGCCACGCGATATGAGCGTAATTGTGAGCGAGACTACATCCGGAGGCACATCGCTGTAAAATAGAAATGCAATGAGGTCGATAATATTCACACTACAATACTCTGTTAAATACTTACTCCAAAACGAATTCCTCCTCCCACACTGGATCGGGCGCGATCTTCACACGTGTCTTACCCACCTTCACTTGATTCAACGAGATGCTGCAGTACGGATGCGGCACCAATTTGAATGGCAGCTTATGCGCCTCGAGCACATGTAAATTCAGGCAGCGCAACTCGCGCAAACACGGTACTTTGATTTGCGCCCGACTGAATTGTGAACTGCATTGCGCTTTGAGCGCATTGATCCATTTTACATACGTCTCTTGCGTCGCGCATAGATACGTATTGTTAGCCAAGCATGGCAATGCGCGCTCGACTATTTGAAAACAATATGGCCGCTCCCATAGCGATTCATGGCACTGGTATAAATACGCACACGATAGATCGATGAGACCCTTCGGTTTAGTCTTTTTCGGATTGTCATAGAAGCAGAGATGTGTTTCGCTGCCCTCGCTGATAAGCGCAAAGTATAATTGTTTCCATTTGGCTGTTTTATCAGACTTCTTGAACAAAGGGCCGTGATGTTTGATGCCGTTTAACTTCTTCAAACCGATTTGATCGCGACATTCGCGCAGAGTGGCATAAATTTTTTCGGCTGCCTTCTCCACCACAAACTGTTGATTGAATTCAGGCTGTGAACCGTTAACCACCTTGCAGGAAGCAAGAAAAGAAAGTAAACCAAGTAAATAAATATTAATTTATATACAAATAGTGACGGCAATGAACTTACTGGATGACTGAGTGAGTGACCCTCGACGATTTGCTCTTTGCGATAGCGATTGATCACCGCATCCAAGCACTCGAAAGTGCGCCCGCCCATCAGATAACGTACGCCTTTCTTTTCAATGCGAAAGCGCTGGATTTGATTATTAATGTGAAAGAAGAGTGAATAATCGCCAGGCGAATTATCGCTTGGGCGCACAAGAAAACTGCCTGGCCCGGCTGTTGTTCAGTTACATAGAAGATAAATATATTTGTACAATTCTAGGAAATTGAAAGTACGCTATCGTCATTTACCTTTCACCAGCATGTCAACGGCTTCATTTTTAGTGCAATTTGGATGGAACCAAGGAAACACCGTATTTGGGTCGATTGCCGGATCCAAATCCTCGACTAGTTCACGGAAAATCATGCCCTGCTCTCCAGTGCGATGAGCTGTCACCCACAACCAACCGTCGCCCATGTCATTGTGCACAAAAAATATATCACCCTTTTGAAAGCTTAACTCATCTGTGTCAGCCATCTTGGTATAGGGTAAATGTGCCACAACACGCTTCTTATCGTTCACCGGCTCCGGCGGCGGCACTGGTAGCACCAGGCGCTCACGTTTCAACAAATCACTGCATGAGGTGTAATAGCCAATGAGATCGCTCAACGACACGAATTGACGTCCACCAATATAGAAATCACCACACACGGCAGTAATGCTGATAAAGAAAGTGAAGGTAAGAAACATAAATAAATAAAAAATTTAAAAAAAGTTTAGAAGCCTAAAATATTTGAATTACTCACCGAAAATGATTAATGCCAGTGCGTCCTAAATAGCTTAATACATATGAACCAGGCTTGCGATCGCTTTCACGAACTTCAATTAAAAAAAAAAATAATAAAAAAGGTAAAAATTTTCACATTTCAAAATTATTTATGATTAAGAACATTCCACGAATTATTTAATTTGCAGCAGCTCTAATATTTTATTTTATGTACTTCTAGTATTATCTAAGAAGAAGTATTATCTCTCTGACTTACCCAAATAACTGCCTAATTTGCCAGTTCCGCGTAGTCGCGATTCAGCAGAATAACGATCCAAACGCCCATGATACCATTCACTCTCCGGTGGCGCAATTATGGCTGGTCGTTCACCTAAAAATATTGTCAATGTATTTAAGTTATAGATTACATTCTTTGAAAATAATGATTTTTCTTAATAAAATATAAACATTCTGGTACTTACCATTCAACATATTTGGACCATCAAACTCATCCTGATCTAATTCCTGGGCCAAGTCACCCATGTCGATACCTCCTGTGGCCATTAGTGCGTTTATACCAAAAGCTGCTAAATTACCGTCATCTAAGCCCCCAGTCGGTGAACCAAGTTTATCCTTATGTATGGCAGCATCCACATTCCCTAAACGTATTAAATCAGCCATAGTTTGTAGGCCAAAGCGGATTTAGTAAATATTTGTTTTTTGCTTTGTGGCTGAATATGTATGTTTTTTATGATTTTTTACAATATTTTAAGAAATTAATTAAATAGCTCCCGCTAAAGGTGCACACACACAATATTGAGCAGAGTAGAGTAGACTAGTTTGTCAGTGATATTTTTTGCTATTTCTTTTCAATGGCTTTCTGGCGCGTGCAATGTAGTTGATGACGTTTGCCAGGCTAATTATACACGAATATTTTTATGTTGAAATTTCAAGAGATTGTTGTGAGCACACACAAAATTTGCAAATGATGAGGTTTCGCGTTGATTACGTTAGCACAAAATAATAAATGTAAACACACTATTAGTTAGGTTAATAATAGTTTGTGAATAAATGCGATTTAACGATGGCGTTAGTATTTGATAAATATACGTACTTAATATTTTGGCCGGTATGCAGCAGTGATTTGCGACTCACAACGAACGGTGCGGAGTGAGTCAGTGATGACAACATATATGACAGGTTAAAACTGCAAAAAAATATTAAGCATAAATTTGCAACAATATCTACAAAAAATGAAACGAAAAACAATGCGAATAGTAACAAATTAAAGGAATGCACTCACACACACAGTGCACGTAATATAAAAGCGATTGCACAAAATATTAAAAAAGCTTGCTACTCTAGAAGTTTTCTTATTCCAACAGTCTTATGGAATGCAACAGAAAAGTAAAATAAAATGTGAAGAAACAGCAGCGACAACAAACAGTAGACAACGGTAGACAGCAGCGCAGGAAAAAGGAAGTGAAAAAGCGGAAAAGAAGGTGAGGCACCAGACAATATTAGTGAGCGTCGCCGAGCTTGAATAGCAGCGTGCGTGGCAGCTGGACGCCGACAGCGAACACTGCGCTTCATCGTTTCACATAGTCAAAAATGTATAGATAATATTGTATATAGCATATCTATATATTATTGGCTTTGTTGAATGAATACCAAATAAATTTTAACAGAAATAAAGCAAACTTAATAAATTGTATCAATGAAAAAAGTTATTATTGAAATATGCTGCTGTATACACTGATAATTTTTGAGAACGTTTTGGTTATACATAGGTAAATAGGTAAATGAAATTCAATTGTAATTATAAAAACGCAATAAAATTTTTGTTATTTCATTTTCTTTTCTACCACCGCGCTACTTCCTTTGTTTACCATTAAATCACTGTGCATAAAAGTTTTGGTCGTTTTTAGTTCGGCTCTGCAAAGTGCATTGGCCAGCTCGACGAAGGCAACCTAATGTTCAAAAAAGGCAGACACTTGTGGTATGACTCAGGAGTAGGGATGAAATGGATGTATGAACGCTCGTTAATTCGCACACAAACACATCATAAATATAACTTTCTATAACAGAACGTTGATGAAGTTGTATGTACGTCTAGACGGAATAATATGGGTAAAACATAAACTCAATTAGGTTTGTGGGCGGTGGCAGACGGAGCTGCCTGCATGGAATACCACGACATTGAATGGATATTGCACAGATCTGTATCAATCACAAAGTAGCCAAAGTATGCAAAAGAAATCACTATTTTACTTCGGCACTTTTATATCTATCAAGTCTCTGACTCAGCGTGTGGCACGTATGCGGGAATGTTATGTATTTGGTTTTAACGACATAACTTACCACGGCACAAAATTTAATTACAAAAAATTCATTAACTTAGAATTCGCTTTGGAAAATCTGCTTGAAGCAATTTAATAAAAATGAATCCCTACACCGTCACTATGTCGACGTTAGCGACAAACGCTCGCAACTTATTTTTCACGATTTTGCTTGTTTTCCACTCGTACGTTTCCAATCGTAATCTTTTCAAATTAACGCAATGACAACGACGTCCTCTAATGCGAACGACCACCACTAGACTACCTTAGCAATCAGAAAACTACGATGTGGCGTCGACAATATTTAACAACACATTGACAAAGGCTGCGACTGCGACGGCGCTAACAAAGCCGTAGAAAACGCCGACATCAAAATATGACGAATACACTAGCTAACAAGAGCGGCGTACTGCCGAATAGTCTATGAACAGGCAAGTCGCAAAGTCTTAGCTTATACTACCCGGTTGGTTCGAAGCTGCACTGCGTCGTCTTGATGTTGCACGCTGCTTGGAGTTTAATTGAGCACTTTCAATTTTCATCGCATTGCCTCTAGGCATATACCCTAAAAGGCACCCCTTCCACCCGACGGTGGGTGCATTAACAATTTTCACTTACATGCAAGCACATAAACATGCAAACATATATTAAATTAAAAGTACATATTACCACTCACATTACTACTGCATTTCTTTCCTTTGCGACCCAATCAGTGTTGCAGCCGCGCCTCCTTCAACATCAACACCGATATTTCTACAACTTTTCCTATCAACCAATAATATCAATAAGCCAACGCAAGGCAGCAAATTCAACTCTTTGCACTCACACTTATCTTATGCTTATTTACGAAACTTTTATATATTATAGCCTTTCAACACAATTTAGCAAATTTTACAATTTTATGTAAAATTATCAATAACAAAGTGAGAAAAATTCTGGATATGTAAGAACTTGCAAGAAAATTTTTTATGCTTATTCTTCTTTAAAGAACGTCAATACAATAGCGAGTTGAAAAACGATAAGAGCACATGGTTGCATTGATATACCGAAATTAATCTTTAAAATGTTAAAAAATCGACAATCTAGTGTATACACCATCCACTGGCATACTTTGGCACAGTGAGCTTCAAACTGTCTAAAAATGCCAAATCTAATAATAATTAAATATTTCTATCAGTAATCATTACAAAATTAATTGGTTTCATCACTTAAAAAACTAAAATGTCAGCAAAAATTTTTCCATTGATAATTGTAATATTGATGCAGTTCAAAATTTGTTTTTTAGAAAACTTTATTCACATTCTTCTTCATCCTATATACGGCAAAAGTATTTATATACAAAATTTTTATAAATCCATTTACATTTTTTGTAACAAAAAATGCTTAGGAATATTTAAAAAGTCTCTGAGCACATATTTTACAAAGAAATAATAATAAAAGAGTTGACAGATTTGATAAAGATTTTAATTAGTTAATTCACATTCAACTATAATTTTTGTATACAATTAATGCACTATGCAACTATGCACGACAGCTCTTCGGTATATCCAAAATTTACAATATACATTTATTTTATTAAGTACACATTTTACCATTATATAATTATGTATCTATGTATAAGATTAAGTATGTTCAAACATATATGGGCACATATGCGAAAATTTTATTTTATTTTTAAACATTCAATTGATACATACATGTATAATATGTATAAGGCTGGTTACAGACTTTCAATATCGAAATTTCTGATTCGCTTTTAAACACAACATTCACTTATACTAGTTACTCCAATATGAATACGAAATAGTTTATTATATTTTTCCTTTAATTGTTAAAAAAATATTTAATAAATAAGTTTTCATTTGGTATATGAAAATGGCAACTTCAGAAGATTATTATTTGGTTTATACGTATGCTCATTTCAAGTTACAATTTTTATTTGTTTGTTTGGCAAAAAATTCATAGTTGTATTTACATTAACAACGCCGTTATTGTTTTCCAATTTTTTGTATGACATGAGGACTAGATTAGGAACCATATTTGTACATTAGCTCATTTCAGTATCATTTAAAAAGTGCAAAAAAATATTTAGAATAAGCTATTTAATAAGTACATACACTACGAACTAAAGAAAAATACTGCATAACAAAAAGAAAACTAAACAAATACTTAAAAATATTAAGAGAACAAATGCGTAACACAAAATATGTTGAACACAACAAATTTGACTGGTAAAACTTACAAATCTATTTGCTTATTATTAAGCGGAAAAATTACGGTTGTGCGCATACATCTATTTATACATTTTCACTAGCAAACACGCTACATCGCTCTCGTCGAACTCCATCTCCTCAGCATAGGCGTCCAACTCGAGTATATCGAAGTTCTCTGCTGCCAATTTGAAAGCCTCGCTCAATGTCGCACCACTTGCCGAAGACGCTACTGAGTTTCCAGCTGTACCCTCCTCCAGCTCTGCATCGCCAGCAGCGCGACATACTTGCGCACCACCATCAGCAACTTTATCAGGCACATTGTCGTCTTTCCGCAATGCTTGCGCCCCAAGCACCAAAGCGGCCGCATCATTTTCAATCATACCGCACACACCGTCCGCTTGCTCCTCTTCCTCTTCCTCCTCCAAGTCCGTGTCGGACTAGCTGCTACTTGTCGGCGTTTGCAGACCATTCACTTTGCCGGGAAAGTGGCACATGCAGGCCGGTGTCGGATTATGCGCAGCATTTGAGTCCAATTTCTTCGTTAGCGTCTTCCAATAATCTATCTGCGCATTCAACAGGTCAATCTTCCTTTCGCGCTCCTTTATCGTCAGCGACATGAGGTAGTCATTGTTGCGATTGTTGGCGTTGTGTGTGCCACCGATGCCACTGCTACTACCACTGCTGCTATTGCTGTGATTGTGCAAGCCGCCAGCACCGCTGCCGCCATGACCATGCCCATTGTGATGATGATGACTGTGACCGTGGCCGTGGCTGCTCTTTTGGAGGCCGGCGAAGCCAGCGTTCGCGTTCAAGCTCATTAACAGCTGATTTGTACTATTGATAAGATTGTTGTTGCTATTGATATTAGCGGCGTGCGTGGCGCGCTGCAGTTGCGGCAATGGCGGCTCTGCTGGATGCACCGCACTCAAGCCAAGGCCATTGAGTAACAACTGCTGTGCTGCTTGCTGCTCGGCACTCACCTGGTGGCGCGTGCTGGGTGTATGGCGATCACCGTTATGTGCTCCATGACCATTTCCGTTGCTGTTATTACCGTTATTACTGCTGTTTGGTATATTCAACGCAGAATTACTGCCGCCATTCTGCAGCGCTTTGAGGTTCGCCAAACTGCCAATGCTGCCGACGCGTATGCCACCAACATTTTGTATTGTCACTTCAGGTTGTTGTGACGAATTTTGCTGTTGATGCGGTCCATTTGAGTTGAAGGAGGCGCGTTGTGACGCATGCGCCGATTGTACAGGCGTAGAATGTCGCAAATCGGTAGCGAAGATCTCATCATCTTCTTCCTCTAAACAAACCTCGGGTATATCTTTGGAACTCAAGCAGTCACCATCGTCATCGTCCATATCCTCCGGCGCCTGTGACTGATCATTATCGCTGATGTCCTCCGATTTAATGACAATTACATCGGGGTCCATGCCATCGTAGCCGAGCGAGGCTAGTTGTGGGAAGGGATTCTAATGGAAATCATAGAAGAGAAGGAGTGTAGGAGAAAGTAAGTAAAATTAGTTACGAAATTTGCAATGAAAACAGAAAAAGAGTAAACGAATTAATTACGTGCCTAAATATAATTTTAATTTTTGTATAACAAATTACGCCTACATCCTTCAATATTTATTCTTGTATTGAACAAAAGCCTTTACGCCGCTCATCGTTTTATCGCTCGTGCCCAGTTGCCGATTCTAATCTGTACTGCGCGTAAACCACACTTGTTATCAATCACACCCCAATGCCCACCCCAACAAACAGCGCCTGAATTACCCAAACGCTTACCTACTAACCGCTATTGCAACAACAATTGCGCACCTCACCTCGATGTGTGATTACTACCCCTCCGTCACACTTGGGCATACGAGTATCCAATAGGTATGCTATCATTTTCAACTCACCTTTGAGTCATCGTAGTCATCGTCGTATTTGTGCTGTCGATTACTGCCGTAACCGCCATTCCCAATGCCGCTACCGCCGTTCGGCGACATCTGTTCGGATATGTATTGTGCGACGGACTCCTGTTGCGATAGTGTATTCAGCAGATCCATGAATGTGCGATTGCCTTTGCCTTCGCCGCAGAGATCCTTCTTCAGCAGCAATTTCATGTTTTTGTAGAGCTGACGTAATTGCTTGGAGGAGCGCTGATGATAGACGCGCGCATTGAACTCCTTTGCTATTTGGCGCCACACTTCGTCCTTCTTCCGATTCGACTCGGCGTCCGTGCGCTTATTCTCGATGACATCCTTGTATTGAGCGGCGAAGCCCAGCACCATGTTGCGCTCCCGTTGCGTGTAGCGGGGAGTCTTCTCCATCTTCACACGCTTTTTGTGAGACGTTTTGAAGCTGCCGCACAGCAAGCGTTTATATATATATGAAACGATACAACAAGGAAATGTGTACACAATAAGATTTGTTAGAATATTGCGCGAAGCTTAAGCTTAATTAAATAACTGATAGAAGCGGTCTAGTCTAGGTAGCCGTGAACCGCACAGCGCACTGCGTGTGTTGAGCTGTGAGCAAAGTAAAACGGACTGGTTGGTTAGACTCGGCCCAGAGCGCGAGTGGCTGACTGATAGCCGCCTGACGATAAAAACCGTGAAAACACACACATACCAAAGTCGTCGCTGTATGAGTGCGTGCGTTCGCTTTAGCTGTCGTTGCGTTCTTGAGCGCTTTTTCGCCTTTTTGTTATTATTAATTAATAAGCATTTGACAAAACTCAGCCAAAGCAGGGCGCAGCGCGCGCACTCAGCCACTCAATCAGCCCCAAACCAGCAGGCAAACCAAGCGGCCACACGGCTAGCAAATTGTTTCGAGCTCAACGAACACAACGTACACACACATACACAAAAGTAGACAATACGTTTTGTTAACGGCAAGATATCGTCTGACGCGACAATGATAACGATTTTCGTTTAATGATAAGCTCACACGGTATCTGGCGAGCTGAAGCTTAGTCTCTGGTCTGTGGCGCAGCGCCATATCTCCAAAATACTTTACGCTCAGCAAATAGACTGACTGTACGCGTTTGTTTGCTTGTATTGCAGTACCTTTATAGGCAGTCCGTCAGGAGCTTAGGATGGAAAGTGAGTCAAAAAGCAAGCACGTCCGTAATAGTTGTAGAATTAGGTAGCATTTTCAAGGAGGCCTTTTTAACCCGACTCCAAAAACGATTTTAATTTAAAGCTTGATAAGCAATCGGAAAACAATCATGGTTAATTACGTCAGGCAACCTTAAAAATTTGTTTTATGGAAACTGCTATGAAAGCTCATAGCTGTATAGACGATAAAAGCTGTTTAAAAAAATGTATACGCACATTTTTATACACTTATCAGGGTAAATACCATAAACCTAGAAAGAAATGTTGGAGACCTTATAAGGTATCAAAAGAACGAAGCAACCCTGAAAAGCCTTATATAAGCTGCTGTGCAAGCTCATGCCAACATACAAACTATTCCCTCAGTTTTTGAGATATCAAAATGAAATACTGCAAACATTCTTTTCTCCCGACCTAATTGATCAGAATCGCCATTATTGGACCACTGTAGGATATTGCTGCCTACAAACTTACATATCTATCAAAATGAAGTCCTAATATGGAACGCTTGACAAGATTACCTCAAGAAATTCGGTATAGATTATGTCGTGGACAACGCTGTAATTTCCAAACGAATTATTCAAATCGAGCAAATATAGAAAACAGTTGCCATACAAACTGAGCGATCAAAATCAAGATAAGTCTTTTTATACCCTTTTGTGATATAAGAAAAACATTTGTAACAAGTATTATAGTTTCGATGCAGCCGAACTTAGCGTTATCACAGAAACTGAGGAGTTGGCGGGTTGTTTTTAATATTGGGTAGTTGAAAAAGTCTTTTCGTATTTTGTCAATAGATGTCGTTGTAGTCGACCAAAATGCTACATATTTATTTTTTTATTTATTAATATAAATATAAAAAAAATAGTTGAACTTTGCTTAAAAATACGAAAAAACTTTTTCGACTACCCATTATTAACTGGTTCTGATTGCTCAAAGCTAAGTTTGGGCATAAAGAAAGTCTTTCATATCATATAAATACCTGTCATTGAAATACAAATAATGTAAATGCAGGCTGTGTGTGTGTACGAGCACTAAACCCCATCCTAGCACAAGCGAGGATTCGTGCGCTGGAAAAAGCACCTGATAAAGACACCGATGCATACATATTTACAATTCATCGAATATCTAATCACCAAATTGTAAATCTACTTAATCATACACATACACACAGCTCCATATAGAGCAGCTTTAATGTTTATGCCTTCGACAGAATTCAAGTTAAACCGATATTAATCATTAGCGAATCGCTGGAAAAATTAACAGTTTGCAAAAAAGTCCGCAATTGATTATTATTGGGCGCGACGTAGGTGTGCGGGGCGCTGTTCCACCATTACAAACCGCACTTTTGTCTAAGCAAAGCTGACAATGGCGAGCTTAATGCTACATGTGAAACAAAGCATTTATTAGCATGTACCTAGACTTGAGCGAGTATGCAATACATACATACACCATATATGTACCTATATATAACTGCATATAATAATCAAATATAGCGAGCATTTCAATGTAAGCAGCGCTTCAAGTCCAGTTTGAGACATGACAATAAAGCAAATAGTAGAATTTATTGTCGAGCTATGTGTGTGTCTGTGTGTAAACAATGCGCACCGACTGTGTGCTTAAGATTGCAACAGTGGAATGGGGGGCTTAAATAGGTCAACAAATTGCAGACAGACACCGCAGCAGGCTGGCAGACTGTGCAGTCCGTGCAGGAAGTCCATACAACCTGCCTGCCGAAAGTGGCTGACATTGCGTGGTGGCAAGTGTGAGAAGACAAACATACCTGCTGTTGTCGCCGTCGCCGTCGCCGTCGCAGAAAAATCTATTAAATTAGGCTATATCAACTGATAGCGCACAAGCCGCAGCCCAGCTGAGTCAGAGCTGCAAAGTGAATTTTATATTTGTTATGCCACACATAAACACCCGCTTTCATAATTACAAGTATTTTTGCAGCTAAGTATCGCTTTATTTGTCTGCCTGCAGAAGCGTAGCAGTGGAGTGGCGGCAAACAAACACTCAGTCCACGTCGTCAAAGTTTAAGATAAGATTGAAGCGCACACTGATAAGCCCGATAGTCGGTTCTAAAAGTAAATGATGTGGCATTGAGGTGCCCACATACTTACATGCTTAGGTACCTGTATGTATGGTACCAAATATATGTATATACGCATTAGTTTCATCAAGTGTACCGAGCAGGTGAAGTGATACTTAACGATATACTATATACATATGTACGTTGTGTGGTAGTGCCATGAGTAAGTGGGGATTTATAAAGAAAGACAACTACTTTTACATCACAAGAAAGCAGATCACGACTGTAGAGCTTTCGGTGACAAGTAGTTGGAAAATATTTGCCGAGAAATAGAATTGCTTTTGGCTTTGTTGTGTCGTAATCTCACATTTGGTGACAAAGATCCTTAACCACTTCGGTACGAGCGTCGACGACCACAGATAAAACAAGCTTTCAGTCTTTCAAGGCGTATCTCAACACAGATCTATAGGCGATCTAACGTCGGACGGATATAAGAAAGGTTTTTTCTTTAGCAGGTTAATTTGAAGCGACAAAACGTTAAGCCTACGATTACCAATAGAAACGCAGAGTATAGGTTAGGTTAGGTCGCAAAAGTGGCTCAACCAGCGAGTTTACAATATGATAGATGAGTCTTAAAGATCAAGGAATGTATTTTAGCTTGAGTTGTCTTAAATTACTTAGTGAACAAATAGGTCATCAACGAAGAATTTAAGTTCGTAATCAGGGGGGAGACGGGAGTAGAATTTTAGGGGGTACTATATAATTTTGTACTTGCAACTCAAAGCACTTTTTTTGCGGAGTGTCACTTTTGACAGAAATAATCTACATATATCTTTTAACTTTTGGGGGGTAACTCTCCGCAATCATCCCAGTTTCGAATATATGAGAGTATGCGAGATCTGCTCCCAATGCTTTAAACGAGATTTTTTGGAAACACTGTTTACAGGGACAACGATGAAAATTTCTTCGAAATTGCTGGACCTATCGATTTGAAATTTTCACACGACCTTCTCACATATTCAGATATGTTTGTCAGATAGTGATTCGTTTTTCGACAATATTTCAATTTTAAGGCACTCTGATGTATACTTTATTGCATAAACCACTCACTTGGGAAAGCACCATTTTGTCAAAAATAAAAATATGTACTAATCTTTAGATGATTACCGGTATTCATCTATTGTAATAATATTTTTTGGTAATACTGGATATCGGTTACGTGATCACGGGAATTTTTCAAAATTAATCACACTTTATTAAATTTAAAAAATATACATAAATTTTATTTATTTATTAAATAAAAAGCCTCTTCAAAAAACAAACAACAATAAATGCAATTTCCGAGACTTCCAGCTGGATATAACCTACAACCCCTTAAGAGAAAAAAACCAATTTTCTAACCATAAACTTTTTATAAGCGCTTCTGAGGCACTATTTCACCACATTACAACTTCTTTCGGTTTCAATAAACATTTAATAAATTATTTATCAAGATAGTGCAATGCAAGAACAACAACAGCCAAAGCACTGACTCGACAATTACAAAAATAATGAAAACAAATAAGGTCTTTATCTTGTTTTGGGGACTTGTTTTGTGCTATTTTATAAGCTTTTCTTTTCTAATGAACAAATACACATACACATACACACATGCCCAATCCTTGGCTAAGTGTTCGGTAAATATGAATTATAACAGTTAAGTGGCGTATGTGAGCATGTGTTGTGTTTCGAAACGATACGAGTTCAAACGCATGGCTTTGACGATGAGCCACAATTGCACCAACACAAGCACACACACCACACGCGCACGTACTGCCATTCGCAGTCGTATGCAAGGTGTGTATTACCTGTAAAGTCATGCACATACAGGTGAATCTGCTGATAAGAGCCTGATAACAGTTCTGATTTCCGCGCCCTGCGCCACACTGCTGTTCTACTGCGTACTCTCTCACTGTGACGCAAGCATTGAGCCGCAGCCAAAGCACTCAAGCCTGTGTTCTGCGCTGTTTTCCCATCTACGTACGGTATATAGATACATACATATGTACATATATGATGTTATATACAAATATTATGTGCATATAGGAATTTTTGCCTTGGTATATCGGCAGATAGTGGCTAAAGCGTTGCCGTCGGAGTTTACCATGAGTAGCGCCCTTTAAAGTTGTTTATGACATAAAGCCAAAAGTAGCAAGAGCACAAGCGATTGTAATCTATCGAAATGGGAACGATATCTCATTTACCAATCTTAAATTTTTTTATTAGAAATCTGGCTGCCGGAAATACCACGAATAGCTTTAGGCTCGATTGATGTGACATGGATTATGCAATAGTGGTCCGAAGTGAACAATATGTTCGAAGATTGTAGCATTGTCTTAACCAATAATCCATGTCAAATTTCGTAAAGATATCTTACCAAATAAATAAGTTTTTCATACAAGAACGTGATTTTGATCGGTCGGTTTCGATGGCGACTATATGATATAGTGATCCGATATAAAATATTTACTCGGGGATTGTAGCATTGCCTTGGGAAATATTCTGTGCCAAATTTCGTTAAGATATCTTGCCAAATAAATACGTTTATCTGTCAAGGATAATACTTTGACGATCAGTTAGTTCCGACAAAGCAACTGAGCTCATTACGCTGATCTTTTATAAATATGTATATAGACGTAGGTTGTTGTTTTTATATATTTTCAGAAAGGCAATGATGTTCAGAGATCTTAATAAATAACCTTTCACTGATTACTTAATACAAATGTAAGTAAAAAAATAGAATGCACATTTCTATACGAATAAATATAATATATCTATATACTACTTGTATGTATGTATTTACTATGTTTATATGAAATGCTTTGCTGACTCAAAATAATTTTCCAAGCGGAAACACGAGCGATTCCAACACTCTTTGTACCAAGAAATCAGCTCAGCCAACACACTCTCATGCATAGACATGAATGCAGCTAGAACAATTTTTCCGAACAAATATACTAAGAAAAGCGCTTTATAAAGCTACATTAATACGCCTCAATATATACATATGCATATGTACATACATACATAAATAGCGTGTATGTAGTAGATAGCGACGGGTAAATGAGAAATTTATTTTTGGCCAAGCCAAAATCATAAACAAGAAAAGCCAAAGTGAGCAAAATGGATGGAAGAGCTCGAATTTCTTTTTAAGTTAATACGTATGCATGTTTGTAAGCATGTGTGTGTGCTTTGAAATATCGATCAACGCGATCTGAGCGGCTATACTGTTAGAAGAAGAGCGCTTAGTGGCAAGCAGAAGGTGGAGATTTAAAAATAATAGCTTTTCACAAAGATTGCTTAATTTTATACAAAAAATACTTAACATTAATTGAAATTTATATAAAATTTGTTGATAAAATTTTTTATTTTGGATTACTATATAGTATTTTTTATATTCCCAATCTAAAAAAATAATAAATAATAATTATTTTGTTAAGCTAAAGTTGAAACGGACATAACTAATAACGATGAGAGTAGAGTTTATCAATTTCCCTTTAATTTATTTTCACAATAAAAGTAATAATTTAAAGCTTCAATAATGCTGCTTAAATGAGTGAAGCTTCCATTGGTCGGTCTACCTACACACGGGCTACAATTGGAAATAATTTTACATTATATATAAGCTGCCATTGCAAAAGCTTAAACAAATGAAATAAACAAAGAAAGTGCATGCAACACGACTCAAATGAAAGAAATTTCTCTTTAATCAAATATTTCTTTCCCTCCCCGCCTCTAAAGCACGCTCCCCCTTAAAGTAAGATCAGCACTGAAGCAGGAAAAGGTGGCAGCATCGAAAGAACGCAAGCAGACAGCGCTGGTTATTTATAGTAAGACGATCGACTTTAGAATTTGTCGCACAGCGTTGAAACACGAGCCACTTAAGAGCAAAGTCTTGCAGTGAAATTTCTTTGAAGAAAGCAGTGGGGAATTATTAAAGAAAGTACACAGCCTTAAGTCCTAAGCACCGCTCGCCAAAAATTCACCCAAAATTGAACATACTTGAAATTCCAAGGCTGCGTTTTGGACTGTGCTCTACTTCAAAGTGCCCAACATTTACTGCTAGCCACTCCTCCAACATGTAATGGCAATGCACAGCCAACCGCCAATAACAAAATCGTATTTTCGTATTGAATTTGTGGCTCCCTTTTGTTGATCAACACGCGTATACGCAACCAATAAGCCAAATTAAACAAACGATCAGCGCACAGCGACGAACGAGCGGTCGCGTGAGTGTATGCGTATGAGTGCACACGCGAGGGTGAGCAAGTGAACACAGCAAGGCAGCTGATCGGTCAAACAAGCAAGCAACCAGCCAACCAACAACAGAACCGAACGTACATACAAACAAACAAACGCACAAACGAGCGATCCGACACAGAAGCCACTAACGCTTTAAACCTTGGACTAAAATTAAATCGAAATGAATTCACGCCAAGATGTGGCGGCCAAGAAGTTCAAGCGAAAGCGGGCACGAAGGCACGTTCGCTTTAAAGAGCAGTGAGAGCGGGAGCATACTCACGCAAGCGAGCAGGCGTATAATGTCAGCGAGAGGGATTTCGTTTAGCTCGTGTGCGCGTCGTTTATTGGACGTGTGTGTGTGTGCGTGTGGGTAGGCAGAGTTGGCCAAAAGCTGTGCGCTATTACGCATTCGTATAAGCAAGCCACAAGGCGAATGGGGAAAATGGAAAAGTCCGCAGAAAGTCGTCGTTATGCGAAATGCCGCGTAAGAATGGAACGCTCGCTTTCATTTTTGGCTGTGTATGTGCGCACACAAACGCGCCAAATTGCGCAGCGTATAGCTTTTATTTATTTTCATATCCGCCAAAAGGCAGCAAGTCATCACTTGGTTGCCTGTTTGAGATCGTTGTTATGGCACTTACCTCGTACGGTACGGCGGAATGACACCAATACTACGGCTGCTGTGACAACACTACTCCACTACGCTTCGTCGACTGCACAGGCTTGGTACAAGTTCGTTTTGATCACTTTCGGTAGCCTGATCAGCGGGGTTCACTGGGATTCCTTCAAATCTATATGTATGTATGTACGTATGTGTTTTTCTTCTTTCCAAATGCGCGGATTCAGTGGCACTTCACTGGCTCGACTTGCCTTGGCTTGCTGCCCTGCGTTCTGCGATACTTCCACCTCGCCGTTTACGACAACTAGAGACGCGTGCACAGCGTTCAAAGACAGAACACAGACTAGCCAAGAGTTGTGCTCGTACAAAGACGATGTTTGAATTCTATTTTTAATTAACAAATTTGTTTCACCAACAAATCGCGGCAAAGGAATACAATATTTGAAGAACGTTAATGTGGGCGAGCGCCATCAACTGACGGTAAAGCGGGCGAGGGCGGCTAGTTGTGCTACTCTGCACTGCTCTGTGTTCAGGTCAGCCAAAAGAACTGCTTAGTTTACGTTGTGCTTTTGATTAGTGTTTTTTTTTTATTATTTTCTTTGTTTTTGTAGTTTTGAAATTTAGATTTCTAAGTGAAAACACGGCGCCGAGGCACAAGCAATCGATGTGTCGGGATACGAGCGAACACTGAAATAGAAAGATGAACTCAAATTGGCGCTGAGCAATGCTTATTTACAAATGGCGTCGAATTTTTAGATTGGAAAACTTTTGTGTATCTCAGTTGAAGCTACATAAGGCAATCAGAGCGTACAATTCTATTTATAAAGGGTACATAAGAAGAATGATCGCACGTATTTCGGTAAAACACGAATTCGAATAATAATTAGTATCACCGATTCAAATAGCAAAAGCAAGACTCGAATGGTGGCTAAGAAATATAATATTAGGATATAGAGTGCTTGATTGTTCAAAAACGAGTTAATCCATCGGTGTTAGGCGAAAGATCGAGGTATGGCTTAACGATTGTTGATATATTAGTTTCCTAGCTTAGAAAGCTCTAATTGCCTGGGTTATGAGCGAATTTTGTCTTAAATTGTACTTAAATTTGTCTGCTTAAATTGTTGCTAGACCACAGTTACATAATCAAACATAAATATCTATAGTTCGTTCTACGTGAACGTGGAAAGAGTACGTTAATCGACTCATCTTAGTCGCTTATAACTACAGTTTATCGCGATGGGAAGGAATTGAATACATAGGTTGCCTTTTATATGGCTTAATTGTTTTTCAAAGTACAAAATTTTTCCGGAAAGTAATATAACTGAATCGATTTAAAAAAAATATTGAGCGAATCGTTACAATTCTTTAAAAACTTTCAAAATAGCCTTGACAGCGTCGCGGAAGACATTCTCCGGAATAGCCTCGAGAGCCAAAGTGCATGCTGCTTGGATCCGCTCTGCCTGCGTGTGCCACTCGAAAGATGGCCTCTTTGTCTCGGGATCATACTCAAACCTACATCTATGATTACGTTATTAAAAAATTGGGGGTCACTTTCATACATGTTCAAATTTTCTCGGCACTCTTTCACTAACTGCAATTTCTGGTCGTCAGTGACCATCTTCAAGCACACCTTGTGCATGTTCAAGTGCTCCGTCACAATGCCATGATATACAGATTTTGGTAAATTTAATATCTCAGCAATTAAACGAATATTTAGTCGATGGTCTGAGTTCAAAACTTTGTGCATACGAGTCACATTGTCGGTGTTCCCGGCTCTCTAAAAAGGCCTGGTACCTCAAAAAAACACACTACTTCTTGCTAAAGTATCATCTGGGTAAGCCGGCTTGATCATATCAAACGTCTCTGTCGCAGATTTACCGAGTTCACACATAATTTAATCGCGTACATCTGCTTCGGCTTGCAAGTGCTCGGAGATAATTGACCAGCCGTTCGTTAGCTAGGAACGCCCTCCACGGAATCCAGTCCGTGCGAGCACAGCCCGAAGTACAGTCGCAACGGAAAAAAATAAGTTATATTATTTTCCGGGCAAACCCTGTATAACCACTTCAAACTTTTAAGTTTTTCTCGAAACTGTGTTCTCCACGTGGATTGTCAAGATTTCTCGCGAACTACAGCAACCGATCTTAATGAAATTTTACACAGATCTTCGCCATACAATTTACAAGGTCTTGAATGAAGAAGTTCTTGTTTGTTCATTACAACGATTTAGAAAAAACTAAAATGTCGAGAAAGATTCATATTTGATTAGTCTGCCAAAAATACTATTATCGGTTATTTGTTTCTCTTTCGTCCAACAGTTAATTCAAGCTTTTAATTAAAATGCGTATTTTCTCTTTTTGATGATCATGTTAGAGGAAGCACCTTTTTCCGAGGAACTGCCGGAACTCACTCTTAATGGACTCGTTTTCAATATTTTCCGTTGAAAATATCTCAAAATATCACTTTGTAAAATGTGTACATATGTTTCTTTGGTAAAATAGAAGGTTGAGTAAAGTATTTAATTTTTTATATAAAAAAAATATTATTGAAAATAAGCCGTTTTTTGCGCGATGAAACCCATTTAACGCTTTTAAAGAGTAAACAATTGTAAACTCGTTACAAACAGACAAATTTCGAAAAATCGTAAAATTTCTATAAACTTATTTATATTATTATATTTATGTATATACACGTACACAATTTTAGACATACATATGTATGTATTTACAAATATTTGAGTATAGGAAATGTTCACTAGTATGTGAACGCCTTTGTAATGTGTGTCATTAAAAGCGAAGAATAAATATCGAAAGCATTTCGTTTCAAGACCAAATGGCCCCACATACGAGCATTACTTAGCACAGCGATGTGAGTCAGCGCCCAAGCGACCGACTGGCTGTCGGGGTGACCCACTCACCGGCGACTACTACTATATGCCTAACTTCGAGACAGCGTATGGCAAAACAAAAACAATGTGTCATTAAGCGCGAGAGAGCGGAAGAGTACAGGCGCAAAAAATATTGCCGAAGAGCGTGTACGATTGCTAATCTCGGACTAAAAATAGCAAGAGATTTTGAAATATTTACAAAAACGAAAATGCTTGCTTAAAGAAAAACATGCGTACATAAACTCATTTCGTTGCATAGGTGTTACATCAAATGATATTAGAAATTCGGCAAACGCCAGCAGCAGCAGCAGATAATGTCAGCAAGCAGGGAGAGGCGTGCGAGCCGAGTTTTTCAAAATGTTTAGCATTTTTTTGTGAAACACTCTTGCAGCGGCCACTCTGGCCGCCAAGTAGCATTGAACTGCGTTATGTCTAGGTGTTATTTTAAGATCAGTTCAATTACCTCCCGAAGACATATGCCTGAAATGTTGACTGCCACCATGAGCCCACACTACGGCAGTCTTATAAACAACGATGAAAGTAAAGTGCACGAAACACGACTCTAGGAAGCCATAAATAAATCTGAACTCATCTCAGCACTTGACGCAGAAACGAGCCAACGCAATGCGGCGCGAAGACAACGGGGTAGAGCCCTGAGTTTTCACTCCAGCGTCGCGCAAAAGGAATAAGCGCAGCCCGACCAACAGCACACTTCTGCCGTATTCAAGCGTAAAACATTTAATTGCACGCAGACAGAGCGCTTTGAATGTGTGCATGTGTGTAATTAGCCTGCCACGTAGAGTCGACTACGTGTCTTTGATACCCTAGGTTGAAGCAGCGATCAGCACGAGCAACATATTGTGTGACTGAAAACTTTCAACTAGGAACACACACATACAAACAAAATGTGTGCATAAAATATTTCAGAAAAATCACACACAGCCAAACCTTGATCGTTCCACTGAAGACACGATCAACAATGCGATCGCAAGGTATACACACAGGCAGCATCACACACACATACCGGCCTGAAAAACAGCGCGCACAAGTGCATTTGTGGAGCTGAGCGCCGGTAGAATACGAACTCTGAGCGTTTATTTTTAAAACACGCATAAAATATACAAATGTACGAGTGCAGCGGCAATAGTTGTAATAGCCGAGCAGCAACAATTGCAATGGGTATAACATAAGATCACTGATTTTCGGCAATAAATGCACGAGTGGTGTCCATACACACCGGCGCAGAGGCAGCTCATGCCACTATCCAAATTGAAAGCAGAGATCGAAGCTGAGTATTATTGCACGATATTAGTGAAAAAGAGCGCTCTCGCTACTTCTGTCGATGCTACAAATCGATGACAAGGAGTAATATGGTATATATTGGGTAGTCGAAAACGTATTTTCGTATTTTGTCAATAAATGTCATTGCAGTCGTTTATATATAAACAAATAAGTTTAAGTTTGATTAGAAATACGAAAATACTTTTTCGACTACCCAATATATTAATGCAAGTTTGAAATTTAAAATATATGACATTCTTAGAACTATTTTCTCAATGTCGGGTTAGCACACTTTTTTTAACCTGAATTTAACTGACAGCTGGCTGCTAATCAGACATTGAGAAAACAGTTCTTTTCGGAACCAAAAACAGTTTACGAATATGCTTTGGTTACGCAAAGTTTTTGAAATTCACTTTCGTACATGCAGGGTTTGTCCGGAGAGTAATAGGACTGATTTTCTTCCGCCGCGACAGTACTTCGGAACACCGACTGGATTTAGTAGAGGGGATTCCTACCTAACGAACGAGCGGCTGGTCGCATGTCTCCGAGCACTTGGAGAGTCGGGACAAACATTTTCGTTCACTTTCACGTGTTTCTGTGAATAGTGCAGCCGAAAATGCAACGATCGTTAGGGCAGAAGTACGCGATTAAATTCTCAGAAAATCTACAACAGAGACGTTTTATCTGGTCTGCTTCATCATGACTTTCGGTGGCACCAGACCTTTTTGGAGGTCCGGAAAGAGGTCGCTGATAAATGAAGTGTTCAAGAGACTCAAACGAAGGGTCAGTCGGGTCCGACCAGACATCGCAGCCGATTGGGAGTTCCATCACGACAACGCCCCATCTCACACCGCCTTTCTATTGAACAGTTACCTAACCAAAACCTGCATCCCAACCTGCTTCCCCAAACGCCCCACAGCCCAGATCTGGCCCCCGACTTTTTTCGTTTCCATGACTGAAAAGACCGATGAAAGGCAAGCACTTTAAGACGGCAGCGGCGAGTAGCCCTCGCCTCTCAAGGCTATTCAGAAGAATGCCTCCTGTAATGCCTTCAATGCTTGGAATTCGCGTTGACAGCGCTGCATCGACGCAGAAGGAGCCTATTTTGAAATTTTTAAAGAATTGTAACGATTTCTTCCATGAATTGTTTTTAATCGACTCAGTCCTATTCCGGACAAACTCTGAACAATTTCTTTTCACCAAAGCCTTAGGCAATAAGCCATTTAGTGGTCCGAATCGCTGGTTCCCATCTTTCCTTTTGTGTGTTACAGACTTCCTGGCAAACTTAATACACCCTGTCCAAGAAAAAATTGCGTAGTATGCCACATAGCTCTGAGCCCGCTAATTACATTACATCGTCTCTTACATTTCTCCGCCGTCCCTACTTCTAAAACGAACCGGCGCAACTAAACGTCAGTAAGTCACCAGATATTTATTTTCGGTTTGACTGCAGTCGCTCAGTAAGTTGATACTTTTGAAACTAATCGATAGCAATTTAATGCCGAGCGAGGACATAAAATATATATAAAATGTGCCCAAGTGAGGGTTGGAGTGTGGGTGGTGCTGAAACATGACGTGGAAAGAACACAGTTTCATAGCACTCCAATCGGTGCAAGGTACAAGCAGCCAACGCCGCCAGAAGTCGAAATAAAGCAAAAACAAAAGCCGAAACAGAACAACCACAAGGATAAACGGTGACAAAGCCGAAGTAAAAAACCAACGAAACCATGGAGTAACAGCAAAGCTGTGGCTGACAAACCGAGCTATGAATCAAAGCGAATTTTCATAAACGATGTCTTGGCCATAAGGAAGGAGACATATTGGAAGGTGCAAAGCGGTGGAAATAGGCAAAATCAGATAATTGGACACAGCAGGCAGATACAAAATCGAAGCGACGGCGAATAATACGAGCAAGCGAACTTCGAAAGCAACAGTCGGCTTGTGGTGGCAATCCACATGTATGTTTATATGTGTTGCATTGAGTACAAAGCAGTCATCAAATCACAAAGGCGCGCGAAAGGACTCTAAAGCGTCATTTGAGGCGCAGCGCTAAAACTGGAACATAAGGTAGGGGCAATAAGGACAGCTTGGGTCTCGGCGACTTATACATACATACAGACGTGTTCGAAATAATAAGAACAACCAAAGTGAATATCGAAATCATTGAATAAAATTTTCTCAGTAATATTTTATTGAACCTTTTCTTCTTAAAAAATTTATAAATATTGTGAGTATTAAAAAAATTGAAAATCTGGTCATCAAATACGCACTAACTTTTTTGTACTGCAAATTTTGTTGCATTGGGTCTTAAACAGCC